ATAGCCGGGCCGCAAGAGGGTGCAGGGGAGGTGAGGGCGAAGGTGGTACTTCGGGGGTGAAGGGCGCTGTGTGGGTAACAAGGGAGAGTGTGGGGAAGATGACACGTACCTGGTGATGGTGGAGGTCTGCATTGGTGTTGACATCATCACTCGCTGGTAGTCAAGTTGTCTGGTTGCTGTTCATTGCTGTAGTTGTAGGATAGGCGGTAGAGTAGATAGGGCGCCTGGCGCCATTCACAAGAGAGAGCTACATTTGGGTTATGCTGTTGGTGTTGCCCTGGTGGGCATGGACACTGACTCACAATTCTTCTGTATCGTTCTCAATGGGATGGTTACTAGGTTCCATGTGCTATCTGCTTTGGCTTTGAATACTTGGACTTCAGTGTGATTTTGCATTCCGGATTTCTACTCTTCTTCCATACTCATGTTCCGTGCAATGATCTTGGGTCTCACATTTTAAGTTTTAACTGTTTGATTTCCAAGGAGTCCGAGAGCGCTGAGCTTGACAAGGTGTTTGTAATTATTTTATTTGTACACAATCGTACCCAGCTGCGTCGTATTCAATATATCATTCAATATTCTGCCATGGCCACACTAGTTCGAAAACTCAAATTGAATAGTGCTGTGTTGTTGTGCGGTGTCAAACTGAAGAGCGTAGACTATGTGTCGTTTTGATACTGCCTTTCCTGTCTAAGAAAAAGAGTGGAAGGACCCCAACTGGGCTATAACATTGTTGTAGAGTGGTTCTATCGTACTATGTAATGTCCAATTCATCCACAGGTGAAAATGGTGAAAACGGGGAAAACGGTATGTGACACACCGTTTTCACCTGTGGTTTGACTTCCTTGGAACAGGGGGTAAAGGTGTTTCTGTTACTTTGTTCAGCTCTGTGATTTTGCTGAAATTCAAAGAATGTGGTCTGTTTAGGGGTTAGTTTGTTAAACGATCTCGGACAATCATGTTGAGGGAAGTTTTGTCAATGCCGGCTGTTTTTTTTTGTTGCTTGTCTCCTTCTTATCAGGAATGGTTTTACATTGATCCCTCTGGGAGCTTACAAGGTCCGTTCAACGGCGAGAGGATGTACAAATGGTACGTTGTACTACACACGTTTGAAGCTTGTAGCTAACGGTGCTGTGCCCTTCACTGTTGTCCTCCCCCTTTTTTTTCTTGTGTGCTGTGGTTTCTCTTTCAGTATGATTCTTTCTCTCTTTTGTGCTGCCATACAAGGTTGCACCCCCCGACGGTCCGCGGCCGTCGACTGGTCGGCTACCGACCTGCCGACCGATCGGCTGGTCGGCACCTACTGGTCGGGGGTCGTCGGCACCCCGCAATATATATG